CCCCCTCCCTCTCCCCCTCCCTCTCTCCCTCCCTCCCTCCGCAGATGCCGCTTCCCCGGCGGCCGGGACGGCGGCCCCCGGCACCTGCCCGGTGCTGAGCCCGGGGCTGGGGGGGGGGTTCCGGGGGTCCCCCTGAGCCCCCGGTCATGTTCTCGGTGCAGGAGGCGCTGCCCCGGGGGGGGGTCCCCATGAAGGAGGAGCCGCTGAGCGCGGGGCTTCCCGCCGGCCGCTGGCTGCAGGGCACCGGCATCCTGGACGCCAGCACGGCGGCGCAGAGGTAAGGGGACAGCCTGGGGACAGCCTGGGGACAGCCTGGGGACAGCTTTGGGGCACTCTGGGCACAGCTTTGGGACAGATTTGGGGCACTCTGGGGACAGCCCGGTGGCTCCGGGGGCTGCGGGATGGATGCAACCCGAGCTCCGCGGGCATCCCCAGGTCGGTGGGCACCGCGGGTTCCACGGGAGTTCCAGGGGCTGGAGGTGTGCCAGGGGCTGTGGGCATTCCAGGTTCCAGGAAGACAGCTTTGGGGCACTCTGGGCACGGCTTTGGGACAGATTTGGGGCACTCTGGGGACAGCCCGGTGGCTCCGGGGGCTGCGGGATGGATGCAACCCGAGCTCCGCGGGCATCCCCAGGTCGGTGGGCACCGCGGGTTCCACGGGAATTCCAGGGGCTGGAGGTGTGCCAGGGGCTGTGGGCATTCCAGGTTCCAGGAGCGGTGGGCATCCCGGTTTTCGTGGGTATCCCGGGGGTTCTGGGCATTCCAGAGGCTCTGGACATCTTGGGCTCCTCGGGTATCCCAGCTTCCGTGGGTATCCCAGGGCTGTGGATGTGCCAGGCTCCGTGGGCATCCCAGATTCCAGGGGCATCCCAGGCTTTGCCGATATCCCAAATTCCAGGGGCATCTCGGGCTTTGCTGCCCTTCTGGGCACTGCGGGCATTCCATGGGCTGTGAGCATCCTGGGCTCTGGGAGTGTCCTGGGATCCATGGGAATTCTGGGTCCTGTGGGCATCCTGGGCATCAACTGTGGGAATTCCAGGATATTCCATGCCCCGTGGGCATCCTGGGCACTGTGGGCATTCCTGGTTCCGTGGGCATTCCGGTGCCCTGGGTCCCACGGGCATCCCAAGGTGTGCCCCCCATTTTCCCTGGCATTCCTTGGGCCTCTGGATCCCCTATCCCGGTGCCCTGGGCATCCCGGGATCCATGTGGGTTTCAGCTGCCAGGGGTTTGTGCCAACGGGAATGGGGTCTGTGCCCATCCCTGCCTTTTCCAGGGGGCTCAAATCCTATTCCCTGCCCTCCTGGAGGGCTCAAATCCCATTCCTGCCTTTTCCAGGACTCAAATCCCATTCCCTGCCCTTTTGTGGGGGCTCAAATCCCATTCCCTGCTTTTTCTGGGGTCCTCAAATCCCATTCCTTGCCCTTTTGAGGGACTCAAATCCCACTCCCTGCCCTCCTGGGAATTCAAATCCCATTCCCTGCCCTCCCTCAGTGTCCCCTCTCCCCTGTCCCTCTCTCCTGACTGTGCCCAGAGGGGTCAGTGCCACCCCTGTCCTGCTGTCCCCTCTGCCGGGTTTGGGGTGTCCCTAAGGGGTCATGGTGTCTCCCTGGGGTCTCCCCAAAACTTTGGGATGCTGGAAAACCTCAGGGAACTCCCCCACACCCCAAAGGGACCCCAGCGCGGTGACAGCCACCCCCAGGGGTGACAATGTGACACAGCCGAGGGACAGCAGTGCCAGGCTGGGGTCCCAGGGAGGAGCTGGCCTTGTCCCTGTGTCCCCAAAAACTCCCCGGGACCCCTGCAAGGGGACAGAGGGACACACCCGGGGCTGGCAGAGGTGGCCGGGATGTGTCACCGACAGTTTGGGGTGTCCCCTCCCTGTGCCACCCTGCTGGCAGTGCCACGCGTGGGGACACCTGGCTGGGGGAGGAGGCGTGTTACCCTCACCCCACGAACACCAGCGTCCCCCTCGCGTGTCCCCACGGCCACCGCAGTGTCCCCAAGGGGCTGGCACTGAGTCCCTGCTCTGTGGGGTGGCACCGGGACCCTCCAAACCTCCCGTCCCGCGGTGTCCCCAAAGGCTTGGCACCGAGCTCCGGGGTCCCCCTGCCGGTCCGGGGTGTCCCCGCGGTGTCCCCGCGGTGGGGTGGGGTCCCCACGCCCCCCGACCCCCCGGAGCCGCCTCAGGGCCGTGCCCGGGGCCGCCGCCGCTTTCCTGGAAGCGCCGGGGCCGCGGCTGCTTGGAAATGCTTGATTGCCTTTAATAATTAATTAACGCGGCGGGCGGGGCTGGCAGCGCGGGGGGGGACACGGCGGGGGACAGCGGCGACAGCCAGAGCCACCCCCCGCGTGTCACCGAGGCCATTTGGGGGGCGCGGAGGGGAATTTTTTGGGGTTGGAGGGAGCGGCGGGCGCCGCTGTCCCGTTGTAGGGGGGGACAGCGAGGGGACAGAGGTGTCCCCGCGGGGGTGGGACCCTGAGAGCAAAGCCACCAGCGCGGGGAGGGGACAAGGGACACTCCGCGGTGTCCACGGCAGCTGTGGGGACATGATGTGACACGTTTGTGGTGGCCGCGCACAGGTATTGTCACCTCGCCAGGTGTGGCCCCACGGGTGTCCCCGGGGACAATTTGGGACCCCGCGAGTGACCCTAGGGACAGTTTGGGACCCCGGGGAGCAGCTGAGGAAGCTTGTCCTCGGAGAAATGTCCCCAGAGTGTCGCCAAGGTCCCCAGGGCTGGGTTCGCGTGTGGCCCCGGCTGTGGCGGGGGTGACACCGAGGGGACAGGGGCCACCAGCGGGGTGGCGACACGGTGACAGTGACGGGGACCGTGCTGGAGCCATCGTCCCTGAAGTGGCTGTGCTGTCGCCGTCCTGTCACCGCGGGTGTCGGGGCAGGGACAGCAGCGGGTGACAGCGGCGGGCCCAGAGGTGGCACTGAGGGAATGGCTTGGGCGGGGAGGGCTCAGGGATGTCCTCCCTGTCCCCTTCTGTCCCCTCGTGTCCCCGATGCCAGGGGCAGGATGTCCCCATGTGTGTCCCCTACCCTGGACAGGGAGGGGGTGCTGGGTGTCCCCCTCGTGGGGTGCTGGGGACAGGCTGGGGGCCCTGGGGACAGGCTGGGGGCCCTGGGGACATGGTGCTGTAGATTTTGGGGTCCCAGGCCAGGGTGCTGGGGATCCCAAGGACTGGATTTTGGGATTTTGGGATTCTGGGAGGGGGCTGGGGATTCCAGGGACATCGTGCCGGGGGTCCCGGTGCTGAGTTTTTGGGTGTCCCAATATCGGGGTGCTGGGGGTCCCCGGGATGGGGCGCTGGCGTCCCATGGAGGAGGTTTTGGGGGGTCCCCGGGAGGGGGTGCTGCGGTTCTGGTGTCACATGGAGAAGATTTTGGGGGTCCCGGTGCTGAATTTCCGGGTGTCCTGGTAATGGGGTGCTGGAGGGTCCTCGTTTTGGGGGTACCCAAAATTGGGGTTCTTGGGGATGGGAATCCTGGTAATGGGGTGCTGGGGTGCCGGTGTCCCGTGGAGGAGATTTTGGGGTTCCTGGTGCTGGGGGTCCCCTGGATGGGGAGCTGGGGGTGCTGGTGTCGCACGGAGGAGATTTTGGGGTTCCCGTTGTTCGGGGTCCCCTGGATGGGCAGCTGGGGGTGCCGGTACTGGGGGTACCCAGGATTGGGGTTCTCGAGGATGGGGATCCCCAGGATGGGGATTTGGGGGTGCTGGTGACCCATGGAGGAGGTTTTGGGGTTCCTGGTAATGGGAATCCCCAGAATTTGGGTTCTCGGAGGTGGGGATCCTGGGGATGGGGTGCTGGGGGTCCCGGGATGGGGTGCTGGGGGCCCCAGTGCTGGGGGTCTCCAGGATGGGGAGCTGGGGGGTCACATGGAGGAGGTTTTGGGGTTCCTGGTAATGGGGTGCTGGGGGTTCCCCGGGGTGGGGGAGTGGGGGTCCCAGTCCTGGTAATGGGGTGCTGCGGGTCCCCGTGCCAGAGTGTTGGGGGCTCCCAGTGTTGGGGGTGCCAAGGATTGGGGTTCTCGAGGATGGGGATCACCCGGAACAGGTAGCTGGGGGTCCCAGGATGGGGTGCTGGGGATCCCCAGGTCTCGGGTTCCTGGGGATGGGGTGCTGGGGGTCCCCGGGATGGGACACTGAGGGTCCCCGTCCTGGGGGTCTGCCAGACGGGGTTTGGGGGGGTTCCCGGTGCTGGGGGTCCCCAGGATTTGTTTTTTTGGGGATGAGGATCCCCAGGATTGGGGTTCCCCTTGCTGGGGATCCCCAGGATTTGGGTTCTCGTGGATGAGGATCTCAGGGTTTGGGGTTCCCGGGGTTTGGGGTTCTCAGGGTTTGGAGTTCATGGGGTTTGGGGTTCTCAGAGTTGGAGGTATCCGGGGTTTGGGGTTCTCGGGGTTTGGGGTTCTCAGAGTTGGAGGTATCCAGGGTTTGGGGTTCTTGGGGTTTGGGATTCTCGGGGTTTGGGGTTCCTGGGGTTTGGTGTTCCTGGGGTTTGGGGTTCCTGGGGTTTGGGGTCCCCGTGCCGTGGTGCCAGGGCGCTGGCGCTGTCCCGGCTGTCCCCACACCGTGGCCTGTCGCAGCGGGGTGTCGCTGGCCCGCGCTCACTTCGAGAAGCAGCCGCCGGCCAACCTGCGCAAGTCCAACTTCTTCCACTTCGTGCTGGCCATGTACGACCGCCAGGGCCAGCCCGTGGAGGTGGAGCGCACCTGCTTCATCGACTTCGTGGAGAAGGAGCGGGTGAGAAACCCCCCAAAAAACCACAAAATCACCCCCCAAAAATCCCTGAAACCGCCCCAAAACCCGCGCTCGCAGCGCGTCGGGGCAGCCGCGGTTGAGGCCGGAGCGCGACCCCGAATCGTGGCACGAGTGACCCCAACGCGGGGTGGGGGTGACCGGGAGGGGACAGCGAGTGACCGGGAGGGGACAGCGAGTGACCGGGAGGGGACAGCGAGTGACCGGCTTTCCCCTCACTGTGAATTTTGTCCCCCCAAACCCCTCCAGGAGCAGAACGGGGAGAAAACCAACAACGGGATCCACTACCGGCTGCAGCTGCTCTACAGCAACGGTGGGTGCAGGGTTTGGGGGGCTCCAGGTGGGTTTGGGGTGTCCCCAAGGGGAGGTGACAAGCGGGGTGACCCCCCCGGGTGTCCCCACAGGGCTGCGGACCGAGCAGGATTTGTACGTCCGCCTCATTGACTCCATGTCCAAGCAGGTACCGAGACCCCAAATCCCCCCAAAAATCCCCGCGACCCCACCCGCGGGGAAGGGAGGGGACAGCGAGTGACCGGGAGGGGACAGCGAGTGACCGGCTTTCCCCTCACTGTGAATTTTGTCCCCCCAAACCCCTCCAGGAGCAGAACGGGGAGAAAACCAACAACGGGATCCACTACCGGCTGCAGCTGCTCTACAGCAACGGTGGGTGCAGGGTTTGGGGGGCTCCAGGTGGGTTTGGGGTGTCCCCAAGGGGAGGTGACAAGCGGGGTGACCCCCCCCCGGGTGTCCCCACAGGGCTGCGGACCGAGCAGGATTTGTACGTCCGCCTCATTGACTCCATGTCCAAGCAGGTACCGAGACCCCAAATCCCCCCAAAAATCCCCGCGACCCCACCCGCGGGGAACAGCTGGATGTCGCTGCGGCCACATCTGGCCGGGGGCGGGGAGGTGGCGCAGGTGACAGGGCCCGGGAGCGCCTCCCTGGTGCCACCCCGGTGTCGCGGCTGTCCCCTCGGTGTCCCCTCCAGGCCATCATTTACGAGGGGCAGGACAAGAACCCCGAGATGTGCCGGGTGCTGCTGACGCACGAGATCATGTGCAGGTGGGTGGGGACAGCCGGGGGTGACAGGGGTGTCCCCAAGGTCCCTTCGACCCCGTGTTAATTAACGAGCCGAGCCAACCCCGCTAATTAACCCTGCGACAGGGGACAGGCCACCCCCGGCGTCCCCTCGAGGACCCCCGCTTGTGGTTGGGGACTGCGGGTGGCCCTGCTGTGTCCCCTGGGGGTGACACGGAGCCCCGGCATGGGTCCCCCCCCCCTTCAGAGCCACCCGGAGGTGACACAGAGTCCCCGGGACCCCCAAATCTGTCCCCAGCCCCAAAAAGGGGTGGAAAAGTGACACCCCCGAGTGTCCCCCCCTGCCGTGTCCCTTCCCTGCTGTCCCCTCTGTCCCCACCCCTGAGTGACAGGGCGGTCCGGGGGTGGGACACGGGGACCTGGCGCGTCCCCCGCTGTGTTTGGGGGTCCCTCAGGCCTCGCCGTCCCCGGATGTCACCTGCTGTCCCCTGATGTCACCTGCTGTCCCCGTGTCCAGCCGCTGCTGTGACAAGAAGAGCTGCGGGAACCGCAACGAGACCCCCTCGGACCCCGTCATCATCGACAGGTGCTGGGGACATTGGGGGACACTGGGGACATCGGGGACACTGGGGACATCGGGGACACTGGGGGATTCGGGGGACCTCATGGTGACCTGGAGGGGGTGGCAGCCACCGCGGGTGTCCCCAAGCTTGGGGACGTGCTGCTGCCGAGCCGAGGGACAGCAGAGGGCACTCCGGGTGTCCCCAGGGGGTGACAGCAGTGACAGATGTCACATCAATAATGGAGGTGACACCGGCGCGTTGGGGACATCCCAGGGTGGCCGCGTCCCCGTCCCTGAGGTCCCTCTGTCCCTGTCCCCACCGGGGTCCTCCTGTCTGTTCCGGTGTCACCTCCCTGGTGTCCCCAAGCCAAGCCCGGGGTTGTCACTTGTCCCCTTGTCACTGCCACTGTCCCTGTCCCGCGGGTGTCCTGGGGCTGTCCCCACGATGGCGCTTTTGGGGTCACAGGACCCCCCTGGGATTGGTGTCCCCTTGGGAGGTGACACCCCGATGGCTGGTGGCACTGTCCCAAATGTCCCAAGTGTCCCTGAGTGCCCCCCTCAGCCTCAGGACTTTTGGGGGGTCTTGCAGTGCCAGGCGTGTCCCCAACCCGCCCCAGGGCTTTTGGGGTGTCCCCTGTCCCCATCCCCATCACTTTTGGGGGTCACTCACTTCCAGGATTGTCCCAAACTTGTCCCCTCAACCCCAGGACTTTTGGGGTGTCCCCAGTCCCCTCTCCCTTTTCCCAAGACTTTTGGGGGTCAGGCAGTTCCAGGAGTGTCCCCAAACCCCCGTCCCCACTCCAGTCACTTTTGGGGAGTCACCAGTGCCAGGAGTGTCCCCAACCCGCCCCAGAGCTTTTGGGGTGTCCCCAGTCCCCTGTTCCCACTCCCAGAACTTTTGGGGGACACGCAGGGTCAGGAGCGTCCCAAACCTGTCTTGCCCCAGCCCCAGGACTTTTGGGGTGTCCCCAACCTGCTCCAGGACTTTCGGGGTGCCCCCAACCCCTCTCTCCATCCCTTTTGGGGGGTCATGCTGTTCCAGCATGTCCCCAACCTGTCCCCCCCATCCCCAGAACTTTCGGGGTGTCCCCTGTCCCCATTCACAACACTTTTGGGGTGTTCCCAACCCGCCCCAGGGCTTTTGGGGTGTCTCCATTCACAGCACTTTTATGGCGTCTCCTGTCCCCTTCCCCATCACTTTCGGGGTGTCCCCAGCCCACTCCAGGGTTTTTGGGGTGTCCCCTGTCCCCATCCCCATCACTTTTGGGGGGGTCACCCACTTGCAGGAGTGTCCCCAACCTGCCACAGGACTTTTGGGGTGTCCCCTGTCCCCATCACTTTTGGAATGTCCACTGTCCCCATCCTCGTCACTTTCGGGGTGTCCCCTGTCCCCGTCACTTTCGGGGTGTGCCCAATCCCCTGTCCCCATCACTTTCGGGATGTCCCCTGTCCCCATCCCGTCCCTCTCGGGGTGTCCCCTGTCCCCATCACTTTCGGGGTGTCCCCAGTCTCCTGCACCCCGTCCCTTTCGGGGTGTCCCCTGTCCCCACCCTGTCCCCATCACTCTCGGGGTGTCCCCTGTCCCCATCACTTTCGGGGTGTCCCCAGTCTCCTGTCCCCATCCCCATCTCTTTCGGGGTGTCCCCTGTCCCCATCTCTTTCGGGATGTCCCCTGTCCCTGTCCCCATCACTTTCGGGGTGTCCCCAATCCCCTGTCCCTATCCTCATCTCTTTCGGGGTGTCCCCTGTCCCCACCCCGTCCCTTTCGGGGTGTCCCCTGTCCCCACCCCGTCCCTTTCGGGGTGTCCCCTGTCCCCACCCCGTCCCTTTCGGGGTGTCCCCTGTCCCCACCCCGTCCCTTTCGGGGTGTCCCCTGTCCCCACCCCGTCCCTTTCGGGGTGTCCCCTGTCCCCACCCCGTCCCTTTCGGGGTGTCCCCTGTCCCCACCCCGTCCCTTTCGGGGTGTCCCCTGTCCCCACCCCGTCCCTTTCGGGGTGTCCCCTGTCCCCACCCCGTCCCTTTCGGGGTGTCCCCTGTCCCCACCCCGTCCCTTTCGGGGTGTCCCCTGTCCCCATCCCGTCCCTCTCGGGGTGTCCCCTGTCCCCGTCCCTCCCGGGGGTCACGCAGGGCCAGCCGTGTCCCCAGCCCTCCCGCGGAGCCCCCCCTGTCCCCCGTGTCCCCGTGTCCCCCCCCGGGCCAGCCCCGCTGGTTTGAGAGCGCGCTAAGTGCCCCTCTCGCGGCGTTAATCAAATTACCCGGCAGCGAAAATTGACGCTTCTCATTAATTAGCCACGATTATGCTAATTGCGCATTCAAATTTATGCGCCGCGAGCAGAAGGTGCTCGGCAGCGGCGCCGGGCATTTGCATATTCAATGGTAATTAGCGATGCTAATTAATGCGCCGGCCCCGTATTTTTAACTCGCGGGGGTTCAGCCCCAGCCCCCCTGCCTGGGGCTGGGATTTGGGGGATTTCGGGGGGATTTTGTGGGGTTTTTTGGGGGGGGTTTGGGGTTCTCCCCCGGCCGCGCTGGGCCGGGGATGGCGGGGCTGTTTTCGTTGCGTTTTTGGGGTGTTTTCCCGGCTTTTTTGGGGCGTTTTGCAGCTCCTTCCTTGCCCTGATTGCCACCCGCGGAGCGGGAGTGGGATTATGGGAATGTGGGGAATGGGGGGACCCCTCCCCTTTTCCTGTGCTGTCCCATAAGGTGGGACCCCCTTTTTGTGGGGTTGGGACCCCCTCAGTGTGAGATCCCTTTTTGTGGGGTCCCCCTTTTTTGGGATCCCATTTTTCCATGGGGAGCCCGTCGCTGTGGGACCCCCATTCCATGGGATTTGCTTTTTGTGGGATCCCCTTTTCATGGGATCCCCTCATCCATGGGAACCTTTTTTTTATGGGATCCCCTTTCCCTGGGATCCCCACACCGTGGGGCCTCCTTTCCCAGAATCCCCTTTTTTGTGGGATCCCCTTTCCCTGGGACCCCCTTTCCATGGGATCGTCCCCTCCATGGCAGCTCCTTTTTATGGGATGCCCTCCCCATGAGATCCCTTTTTGTGGGATCCCCTCATCCATGGAATCCCCTGATTTGTAGGATTCCCTTTTCCCTGGGACCCCCCTTTCCATGTAATCCCTTTTTTGTGGGATCCCTGAGATCCTTTTCCCCCGTGACCCTTTTTTTGTGGGATCCCCTCTCCCTGAGACCCCTTTTCCATGGGATCCCCTTTTTCTGGGACCTCCTTTTGTGGGATCACCCTTTTTATGGGATCCCCTTTCCATGTAACCCCTTTTTGCAGGATTCCCCTTTTTTTGTGGGATCCCCCTTTTTGCGGGATCCCCATTTTCTGGGATCTCCTTTCCATGTAACCCCTTTTTATGGGATCCCCTTTCCATGTAACCCCTTTTGTGTGGGATCCCCTTTCCATGTAACCCCTTTTTTGTGGGATCCCCATTCCCTGGGACCCCTTTTTTGTGGGATCTCCTTTCCATGTAACCCCTTTTTGTGGGATCCCCTTTCCCCGGAATCCTCCTCCGTGTCCCCCCCGCCTGACCCGGGGGTGACCCCACTTGGGGTTCCCCAGATGTCCCCAAACCCCCTGTGACCCCGGGGATGGGACAGTGTTCCCAGGGGTGCTGGTGTCACCCCAGCAGGATGGGGATACTGGGATGGGGACAAGAAGGGACACTGGGATGGGGATGGGGACATTGGGATGGGAACAGAGCAGGACAAGGATGGAGACAGCGGGATGGGGATACTGGGACACTGGGATGGGGACAGAATGGGACATTGGGATGCGGACAAGAAGGGACACTGGGATGGGGTTGGAGACACTGGGATGGGGACAGAGTAGGATTGGGATGGTGACAGGGTGGGACACTGGGATGGGGACAGTGGAATGGGGACAGAATGGAGACACCAGGATGGGGATGGGGACATTGGGATGGGGACAGAGCAGGACAGGGATTGGGACAAGAAAGGACAGTGGGATGGGGACAGGATGGGGACATCAGAATTGGGATGGAGACAATGATGGGGTGGTGACAAGAAGGGACAGCGGAACTGAGACAGAATGGGACACTGGGATCGGGACAGGATGGGAACACCAGGATGAGGACAGGATGGGGACACCAGGATGGAGATGGAAACACTGGGATGGGGACAATGGTGACAAGAAAGGACATTGGGATGGCGGCAGAATAGGACATTGGGATGGAGACAACGGATGGGGGCACTGGTATTTGGGGGCACCATGGGGACACGTTTGTCCCCTCTTTTTGGATCCCCTTTCCATGTAACCCCTTTTTTGTGGGATCCCCATTCCCTGGGACCCCTTTTTTGTGGGATCTCCTTTCCATGTAACCCCTTTTTGTGGGATCCCCATTCCCTGGAATCCTCCTCCATGTCCCCCCCACCTGACCCGGGAGTGACTCCACTTGGGGTCCCCCAGATGTCCCCAAACCCCCTGTGACCCCGGGGATGGGACAGTGTTCCCAGGGGTGCTGGTGTCACCCCAGCAGGATGGGGACACTGGGATGGGGACAGAGCAGGACAGGGATGGAGACAGCAGGATGGGGACAAGAAGGGACACTGGGATGGGGGTGGGGACACTGGGATGGGAACAGTGGAACGGGGACAGAATGGAGACACCAGGATGGGGATGGGGACATTGGGATGGGAACAGAGCAGGACAAGGATGGAGACAGCGGGATGGGGATACTGGGACACTGGGATGGGGACAGAATGGGACATTGGGATGCGGACAAGAAGGGACACTGGGATGGGGTTGGAGACACTGGGATGGGGACAGAGTAGGATTGGGATGGTGACAGGGTGGGACACTGGGATGGGGACAGTGGAATGGGGACAGAATGGAGACACCAGGATGGGGATGGGGACATTGGGATGGGGACAGAGCGGGACAGGGATTGGGACAGGATGGGGACACCAGAACTGGGGACACGATGGGGACAGGATGGGGACAGAATGGGGACACCAAGATGCGGATGGGGACACTGGGATGGGGACAATAATGGGGTGGTGACAAGAAGAGACAGCAAAACAGGGACAGGACTGGAACACTGGGATCGGGACAGGCTGGGGACACCAGGATGAGGACAGGATGGGGACAGAATGGAGACACCAGGATGGGGATGGGGACATTGGGATGGGGACAGAGCAGGACAGGGATTGGGACAAGAAAGGACAGTGGGATGGGGACAGGATGGGGACATCAGAATTGGGATGGAGACAATGATGGGGTGGTGACAAGAAGGGACAGCGGAACTGAGACAGAATGGGACACTGGGATCGGGACAGGATGGGAACACCAGGATGAGGACAGGATGGGGACACCAGGATGGTGATGGAAACACTGGGATGGGACAATGGTGACAAGAAAGGACATTGGGATGGCGGCAGAATAGGACATTGGGATGGAGACAACGGATGGGGGCACTGGGATTTGGGGACACCATGGGGACACGTTTGTTCCCTCTTTTTTTCCTCCCCATTCCAGGTTTTTCCTCAAGTTTTTCCTCAAGTGCAACCAGAACTGCCTGAAAAACGCCGGGAACCCGCGGGACATGCGACGCTTCCAGGTGACACTTGGGGACATCACCGAGAGGGTGGAGGGGACACCAGAAAGGGGTGCAGGTGACCCCAGAAAGATTCCCTAAAGGGGTCGAGGATAACTGGGGACTCGATTCCCCCCGACCCCTTTGAAAAATCCCAAATTTACCACCACCCTAAAAAATCTACCACCACCCTATAAGAAACCCCACATTTTGACCCCAAAAAGGAGTTCAGGTGACCCCAAAAAGATTCCCCAAAGGGGTCGAGGATAACTGGGGACTCGATTCCCCCTGACCCCTTTGAAAATCCCGAATTTCCCACCACCCTAAAAAATTTGCCACCACCCTATAAGAAACCCCAAATTTTGACCCCAAAAAGGGGTTCAGGTGACCCCAAAAAGATTCCCCAAAGGGGTCGAGGGGAACTGGGGGCTCGTTTTCCCCCTGTTCGGGGTGAATTGAGTCTCCAGTTCCTCTCGATCCCTTTGAAAATCCCAAATTTCCTGCCACCCTATAAAAGGTGACACTTCCAGGTGGCACCTGGGGACATGATGGAGGGGATCCCAAAAAGGGGTTCAGGCAATCCCAAAAGGATTTCCTAAAGGGCTTGAGGGGAGTTGAGTCCCCAGTTTGCCTCAACCCCTTTGAAAAGTCCCAAATTTCCCACCACTCTAAAAAATCTACCGCCATCCTATAAGAAACCCCACATTTTGACCCCAAAAAGGAGTTCAGGTGACCCCAAAAAGATTTCCCAAAGGGGTCGAGGGGAATTCAGTCCAAGTTCCTCTTGACCACTTTGAAAATCCCAAATTTCCCGCCACCCTAAAAAATCTACCGCCACCCTATAAAAGGTGACACTTTGAGGTGACACTTGGGGACATCACAGATGGGGTGGAGGACACCCCAAAGAGGGGTTCGGGTGACCCCAAAAAGATTTCCCAAAAGGTTTGAGGGAAATCGAGTCCCCAGTTCCCATTGACCCCTTTAAAAAATCCCAAATTTCCCGCCACCCTAAAAAAATCTACCGCCACCCTGAACAAAATCCCAAATTTCGACCCTAAAATGGGGGGTGAGGTGCAGGCGACCCCAAAAAGGGTCCCCAAAGGGGTCGAGGGGAATTGGGGACTCGATTCCCCCTGTTTGGGGGGAATCGAGTCCCCAATTCCCCTCGACCCCTTTAAAAAATCCCAAATTTCCCGCCACCCTAAAAAATCCACCGCCGCCCTATAAAAAACCCCAAATCCGGCCTGAAAACCCCAAAATCTCCGCCCCCCCCTCAGCCCCCCCGGTCGCAGCTGGGTCCTGGCCCCCCCCGAAGTTCATCAGGGCTCGGTAACGAGATGTTAATTATGACATTTCGGTGATTAACGACGCTTGGGGGTGGCTCTAATGTCTTTGGGGTCCCCTGCGGGGAATTTGGGGGACTGGGGGGGACCCTAAAAGGGGTTTGGGGTTCCCTGGGGGTCCCCTGAGTGTCCTGGGGGAAGGAGCTCGGCAGGCTGGGGGTCCCCTGGCAGGGCTGGTGACCCCAGGCTGTGGGGGTCACCCTGGGGCCACCGCTGTGACACCGTGGGGACAGCGCTGCTGGCACCTCCTGTGGTGTGACAGGGATGGGGACATTGTGGGGACACCGTGGGGACAACACAGCTGCCCCCCTGTGGTGTGACAGGGATGGGGACACCGTGGGGACAACACAGGGCTGTGACAGGGATGGGGACATCGTGGGGACACCACATTCAGTGTCCGCACGCTGTGCCATGGCCATGGCAGGGGAGGGGACATCATGGGGACACCACAGGGACACCACACACAGCGTCCCTGTGCTGTGACAGGGATGGGGACACCGTGGGGACACCACACACAGCGTCCCTGTGCTGTGACAGGGATGGGGACACCGTGGGGACACCATGCACGGTGTCCCTGTGCTGTGACAGGGGAGGGGACACCCCTGGGACACTACAGGGACGCCACACCCAGTGCCCCTGCGGTGTGCCAGGCCAGGGGACACGGCGGGGTGACCGTGTCCCTTGTCCCCGCAGGTGGTGGTGTCCACCACGGTGCACGTGGACGGCCACGTCCTGGCCGTGTCCGACAACATGTTCGTCCACAACAACTCCAAGCACGGCCGGCGCGCCCGGCGCCTCGACCCCTCCGAAGGTCAGGGGACACCTGGGGACATTGTGGGGACACGTGTTGAGACCCTGCCAGTGTGGCCTAGCACCCCCCTGGTGGTCTCTGCTGTCCCCACCCTGCTGTCCCCACCCTGCTGTCCCCAGTGTTTGTGCTCGTTCATGGTTGGGTGTCCATGGGTGCCTCCCCGCCTGTGTCACCATGGCCACCTGGGGACACCTGGGCACATCCTGGGGACATGTGTTGGGACCCTGCCAGCCTGGCCTGGCACCTCCCGGGTGATCCCTGTGTCCCCACCCTGCTGTCTCCACTCTGCTGTCCCCAATGTCTGGTGGGCCATCCATGGGTGTCTGTCCCCATCTGTGTCACCGTGGCCACCTTGGGGACATTTTAGGGACATGCTTTGGGACTGTGACAGTGTGGCCTGGCACCCCCCAGGGCGATTCCTGTGTCCCCACCCTGCTGTCCCCACCCTGCTGTCCCCGATGTCTCTGCCCGTCCATGGTTGGGTGTCCATGGGTACCTCCCCACTGTGTCACTGGGGCCACCTGGGGACATCTTGGGGACATGCACTGGGACCCTGCCAGTGTGGCCTGGCATCCCTGGGGCGGTCCCTGTGTCCCCACCCTGCTGTCCCCAATGTCGGGTGGGCCATCCATGGGTGTCTGTCCCCATCCATGTCACCATGGCCACCTTGGGGACAAGTTTTGGGAGTCCCCAGCCTGGCCTGGCACCCCCACGGTGATCCCTGTGTCCCCACCCTGCTGTCCCCACCCTGCTGTCCCCAAATGTCCGTGCCCATCCAGTTTGGGTGTCCGTGGCTGCCTCTGTTTGTCCCCACCCATGTCACCAAGGTCACGTGTGCGTGTCCCCAGCCACGTCCGTGTGGCCACCCGTGATTATCCCCATCTGTGTCTGTCCCCTGTCATGTCCCTGTGGCCCCAGCCATGTCCATGTCCCTGTGTCCCCATGTCCGTCCCAATTTGTGTCCCCATGTCCCCATGTCCCTGTGGCCGCCTGTGTCTGTCCCAGTCCATGTCCCTGTCTGTCCCAGCCCGTGCCCTCATGTCCCCATCGATGTCCATGTCCCCACACCTGTCCCCGTGTCCCCATGCCTGTCCCCACGTCTGTCACAATCCACGCTCATGTCCCCATCCGTATTTGTGTCCCCATGGCAGTCCCCGTGTCCCCACATCTGTCCCACTCCATGTCCCCATGCCTGTCCCAGTCCATGTGCCCATGCCTGTCCCCGTGTCCCCACATGTGTCCCACTCCATGTCCCCATGCCTGTCCCCTCTTCCCTTCCCCCACCCACTGTCCCTGTCCCTGTGTCCCCATGCCTGTCCCCATGTCTGTCCCACTCCATGTCCATGTCCCTATGGCTGTCCCCATGTCCCCATGCCTGTCCCAGTCCATGTCCCCATGCCTATCCCCGTGTCCCCACATGTGTCCCAGTCCATGTCCCCATGCCTGTCCCCTCTTCCCTTCCCCCACCCACTGTCCCTGTCCCTGTGTCCCCATGCCTGTCCCCATGTCTGTCCCACTCCATGTCCATGTCCCTATGGCTGTCCCCATGTCTGTTCCCTCTTCCTTGCCCCCACCCCACCACCCCAAAGCCCCCCTGTTCCTCTGTCCCTGCCATTGCTGTCCCTGCCCTTGCTGCCCCTGTCCCCCCCACCCCTCTGTCCCTGTCCCCTCCCCACGGCTGTCGCTGTCCCCTCCAGCAGCCACCCCCTGCATCAAGGCCATCAGCCCCAGCGAGGGCTGGACCACGGGCGGTGCCACCGTCATCGTCATCGGCGACAACTTCTTCGATGGCCTCCAGGTGCTCTTCGGCACCGTGCTGGTGTGGAGCGAGGTACGGGCAGGCCGGGGGTGGCGCGGGGACACCTCGGGGACACCGCGGGCCGGGCTGAGGCCGTGTCCCCCCCGCAGCTCACCCCCCCCCACGCCATCCGGGCGCAGCCCCCCCCCCGCCACATCCCGGGGGTCGTGGAGGTGACATTGTCCTACAAGGCCAAGCACTTCTGCAAGGGCGCCCCGGGACGCTTCATCTACACCGGTGAGGGACGGGGACAACTGGGGACAGCGGGGTTGGGGTGGGGACACCTGGGATTGAGATGGGGACACCCAGGAATGGGATAGAGTCCACTGGGATTGGGATAGAGACACCTGGGACTGGGATGGGGACATTGGGACTGGGGTGGGGACATTGGGATTGAGATGGGAACACCTGGGAATTGGGTAGAGACTGCTGGGATTGGGATGGGGACACCCGGGGTTGAGATGGATGGGGACATCAGGATCAGGATTGGGATGGGGATACCTGGGAATGGGGTGGGGACATTGGGATTGAAATGGTGACACCTGGGATTGAGATAGGGATGTCCTGGAATTGGGATGTGGACATTGGGATTGGGAGGAGTACACCCAGGAATGGGATGGAGACATCAGGATTGGGATGGGGACATCTGGGAATCGGATAGAGAGTCTTGGGGTTGGGTAGAGACACCTGGGAATGGGGTGGGGATATCAGGATTGGGGTGGGGACACCTGGGAATGGGATGGGGACATTGGGATTGGGGTGGGAACATGGGAATTGGGATAGGGATATCCTGGAATTGGGATGGGTACACCAAGGAATGGGATGGGGACATGAGGATTGAGGTGGGGACACCTGGGAATGGGATGAGGACACCTGGGAATGGGATAGAGAGTCCTGGAATTGGGATAGAGAGTCCTGGGATTGGGATAGAGACCTGGGAAGGGGACACATAACCCCATAAAGGGGTGGAGACCCCCAGGATTGGGATGGAGAGCCCTGGGACTGGGATGGAGACCACGGTGACTGGGACTGGGAGCACTGGAACTGGGACGGGGACACCTGGGATGGTGACAAACACTCGTGGGACTGGGACACAAACACCAGGAAGGGAACACAGATCCCCGGGAGGGGACAGAGCCCCCATGACAGTGACACAGACAGCAAGGACAGTCGCCAGCCCCTTGGGACAGTGTCCTAGCCCCCAGGACATGGTGACAGTGACAGTGACATGGCGGTGTCCCCTGTCCCCAGCCCTGAACGAGCCCACCATCGATTACGGCTTCCAGCGGCTGCAGAAGGTGATCCCGCGGCACCCCGGGGACCCCGAGCGCCTGCCCAAGGTAGGGGACAGCGACACTCCGGGGACAGGAGGGACACCTCGGGACAGGAGGGACACCCCGGGACACGGGGATTCCCTGGCACTGCCCCAGGGGCAAAGGGCAGGGAAGGGGTGACAGTTCTTGTGTCCCCCGGGTCTGGCAGGGAGGGACGGGGGCACTGGGGACACAGAATGGGGACACGGGGGGACCATAGGGAGGACAAAGGGGTGGTCACTGGGGGCACAGAATTGGGGGAGGCAGGAGGGACACAGGGGGTCGTTGGGGACACAGAATGGGGACACAGGGGGTCATTGGGGACACAGAATGGGGACACAGGGTGTCATTGGGGACACAGAATGGGGACACGGGGCGACCATGGGGACACAGAATGGGGGGGTCAGGGGTGGTGATCAGGAGGGACACAGGAGGGACTTTGGGGACACAGAATGGGGACACAGGGGGGACCATGGTGGGGACAAGGGGTGGTCACTGGGGACACAGAATGGGGACACAGGGGGACCATAGGGGGTGGGCTGGGCGTGCAGCACCCCCTGACCCCCCTGTCCCCTCCCCTGTCCCCTCGCTGTCCCCAGGAGGTGCTGCTGAAGCGCGCGGCCGACCTGGTGGAGGCGCTTTATGGGGTCCCCCACAGCAACCAGGTGTGCGGGGACCCCTCTGGGACACACCTGGGACATCCCTGGGACACCCCTGGGAACCCCCCCCTCAGTTCCCCCCATCCTGGGACAACCCCGGGGACCACCCCCCAGTGTCCCCTGGGATCCCCTTGGGGACACCCCTGGGACTGGGACCCACCACCCTGGGACACCCTCGAGTCCCCCCCTGCCACACCTGGAGGGGGTGGGGGGGACAGTCCCCTCCCCAGCCCCCTCGTGGCCCGTGTGTGTCCCGGGAGGTGACATCAGCTGGGACAGTCCCAGCCACCCCTGGCCCATCCTGGGGTCACCTCGGGCTCTGTGGGTGGTGGGGTGACACCAAGGGTGACACCGAGGAGTGGCACTGAGAGGTAATGCCATGGAGCACCATCGAGGGGTGACAATGAGAGGTGACACTGTAGGGTGACATTGTGCTGAAGGGTGACATTGTGGGGTGGCACTGCAGGGTGACATCAAGGGGTGACACTGCGGGGTGGCACCCAGGAGTTACTCTGTGGGGTGGCACCATGCTGGAGGGTGACACTGTGAGGCGACACTACGAGGTGGCACTGCGGAGTGCCACCCAGAGGTGCCACCCAGAGGTGCCACCCAGAGGTGCCACCCTCACTCGGTGACACCACTGCCGTGTCCCCAGGACGTGCTGCTGAAGCGGGCGGCCGACGTGGCCGAGGCGCTCTACAGTGTCCCCAGGGCCCCCGCGCATGTCACTGTCCCCTCCTTCGGCGGGGGACAGCTCGGCCTCGCCATGGGCGACTCCCCGCAGGGCTCCGAACAAGGTGCGCGGTGGCCTCGGGGTGGCAGGAGGGTTTTTGTCCCCTCCCCGGCGGGTGCCACCTGTGGCTGTCCCCTCAGGGCTCTGACCAAGGTGCGAGGTGGCCTCGGGGTGGTGGGAGGGCTTCTGTCCCCTCTCCAGGGGGTGCCACCTGTGGCTGTCCCCTCAGGGCTCCCCATAAGGTGTGTGATGGCATCGAGGTGGCCTCGGGGTGGCGTCTCTCCAGGAGGTGCCACCCATCCCTGTCCCCTCAGGGCTCCCCATAAGGTGTGTGATGGCATCGGGGTGGCCTCGGGGTGGCGGAAGGGCTTCTGTCCCCTCCCCGGCGGGTGCCACACGTCCTTGTCCCCTCAGGGCTCCCCAGAAGGTGCGCGGTGGCCTCGGGGGGTTGTGTCCCCTGTGCGGGCGGTGCCACCGTGTCGCTGTCCCCGCAGGGCTGTGACCAAACTGCGCGGTGTCCAGTGCAGGCAGTGCCATCGTGTCGCTGTCCCCTCGGGGCTGTGACCAAGGTTCAAGGTGGCCTCGGGGTGCGGGAAGGTTTGTGTCCCCTCCCCGGTGGGTGCCACCCGTCCCTGTCCCCTCAGGGTTCTAACCAAGGTGCGCGGTGGCCTCGGGGGGTTGTGTCCCCTCCGTGTCGCTGTCCCCGCAGGGCTGTGACCAAACTGCGCGGTGTCCCCGGGGTCGGGGCGGGGGGGGCCGGAGGGTCTTTGTCCCCTCGGCAGGCGGTGCCACCGTGTCGCTGTCCCCGCAGGGTTCTCGCGCAGCCCCGGGTCGCCCCCGGCGCGGGGGTTCGGCCCCCCGGGCTCGGCCCCCCAGCAGGGCTTTGCCGGGGCCACCGGCGGCTTCGGCGGGGCCACCATGGCCGGGCTGGGGGTCCCCGGGTCCCCTCCGAGCTTCCTGAACGGCTCCACCGCCACCTCCCCCTACGCCAGTGAGTGACACGTCTGGGGACACCCGTGGTGGGGGGGACACGGGTTCGTGGGGGATCCCCAAAGCCGTGTGACAGCCCTGGGGACATTCCTGAAGTCATGGCCCCAGAGTCATTGCGGGGTCTCTGGGGGTCCCCAGAGTTACGGGCCAGCCCTGTGGGGTCCCCAAAGACATGTGACAACCCTGGAGTGTCCCCAAAGCCATGACTGAGGGCAGGAGAGGGAGCGGGGACATGGCCAGCTGAGGTGGGAAGGTCCTGTCCCTGTCCTTGTCCCCATCCCTGTCCTGGCCCATCGTTGTCATTGTCGCTGTCTCTCTCACTGTTCCTGTCCCCATCCCTGTGCCTGTCCCTGTCCTTGACCCAACCCTGTCCCACCCCCGTCCTTGTCCCTGTCTCTGCCTCTCTCCCTGTCCTCATCCTTGTCCCTGGCCCTGTCCCTGTCCCCATCCCTGTCCTTGTCCCTGTCCCTGTCTCTGCCTCTCTCCCTGTCCCTGTCCCCATCCCCATCCCAGCTCCATCCCTGTCCTGTCCCATCCCTGCCCTGTCCCCTCGCGGTGTCCCCTGCCCCCATCCGAGCAGTGTGTGGCTGTCCCCTCAGTCCTGCCCGCCAGTCCCCCTCTGGGCGCCTCGTCCGTCGCTGTCACCTCGGGCCCGGGCACGGCCACCTCGCCCGGTGGCTTCTCCTTCTCTCCGGTGACGATGATCTCGGCCGTGAAGCAGAAGAGCGCCTTCGCCCCCGTGCTGCGGCCACAGGGGTCCCCCCCGCCCGCCTGCGCCAGCGCCCTGCAAGGTCAGGCTGTCCCCAAGGCCACCAAGGCCACCAAGGTCTCTGACAGCCAGCCCCGGGTGGCTCGTGCCCCATGAAGGGTCCCTGGTGTCACCACACTGCTGATGGCCTGTACCTGGGCATGGTTGGGGCTGCCCTGTGCCACCTGTGTCCCTCTCTGTCCCCACTGTCCCCAGGGTCCCTGACATCCGTCCCCAGCCCCATGGAGGGTCCCCAGTGTCGCCTCTCTGGCTCTCTGGTCAGGGCTCTGCTCTGTGCCACCCCTGTTCCCGTCCACCAGTGTCCCCAGGGTCCCCAAGGTCCATGACATCTGTCCCTGGGTGGCGCTGTCCCACAGAGGGACCTCGGTGTCACTGTAATCCTTGGACCTGCCCAATGTCCTGCCCATGGGCGTGGCTGGAGCTGCCCTGTGCCACTCTGGGGCCTGTCCCCCCGTGTCCCCAGTGTCCCCAACACCCAGCCCGAGTCCCCCTTCCCCACGGAGGGTCCCTGATGTCACCACACTCCCTTCCTGATGTCCCTGCCCGTGTGACGCCCATACCCGGGGTTGTCCCATGCCACCCGCGTTCCTGTTCCGCTGTGTCCCCAGTGTCCCCAATGTCCCCCGGCTGACGCTGTCCCTGCCCTGCCCAGACCCGGCTTTCGAGGACTCGGACAAATTCCACGCTCCGGCGCGGCCGCTCCAGGGATTGGCCTATTCCTAAGGAAGGCGTGTCCAGAGGGGCTCCGGACCCCCCATCCCGCCGGGACAAGGACTGGGGACATCCCTGTCCCCTGTGCCCTCCCCTCAGAGCTGGGCGGAGCCGCCATGCAGAGCGGGATGAGGGGACCCGGCCTGCTGATGTCCCCACCCCTGGTGGCCCCGGCCTGGCCCGGCTGAGGGGGGACTTGGGGCAATCCTGGAATGAGCCAAAATTCCTGGGTTCGGCCTCGGGAAGAGGCGGAGAGAGCCAGGAATGGGGCAGAGGAGGGAGCGGGGTGGAGGCGCCGGGATGGGCGGGAGGGGTGGGCCAGGATGGGAGGGATGATTCAAGGTGGGATGGATGATCCAAAATGGGATGGAAGCTCTGGAAAAGGAAGGATGATCCAGGTGCGATGGATGATCCAAGGTAGGATGGATGATCCAGGTGGGATGGATGCTCTGGGATGAGATGGATGTTCCAGGTTGGGATGCGTGATCCAAGGTGAGATGGATGATCCAGGATGGGCTGGATGCTCCAGGTGGGATAGATGCTCCAAGGTTGGATGGATGTTCCAATATGGGATGGATGATCCGGAAAAGGATGATCCGAAGTGGGATGGAACCTCCGGGATGGGTTGGATGATCCAGGGGGATGGATGATCCAAGATGGGATGGATGTTGCAAGGTGGAATGGATGATTCAGGAGGGCTGGATGATCCAGGATGGGATGAAAGCTCTGGAATAGGATGGATGATCCAAGGTGAGAGGGATGATCCAAGATGGGGTGGATGTTCTGGAAAAGGAAGGATGATCCAGGTGGGAGGGATGATCCAAAATGGGATGGATGCCCTGGAACAGGGTGGATATTGAGGATTAGAGGGATGATCCAGGAGGAGATGGATGCTCCTGGGCAGGGGGCATGATCTGGAGTGGGATCGATGGATGGATGGATGGATGGATGGATGATGGATACATGGATGGATGGATGGATGGATGGGTGGAGGGATGGATGGATGGAGGGATGATGGATAGATGGATGGATAGAGGATGGTGGATGGATGGATGGATGATGGATACATGGATGGATGGATGGATACTCCAAGGCAGGAGGGCTGATCTGGGGCAGGACGGACGCTCCCAGGAGAGATGGATCCTCCAAGGTGGGATGGATGCTCCAGGTGGGAATATCCTGGATACCCCAGGACAGGACGGATGCTTCTGTGGGACCCGGCTCCTCCCGCCTTTCCCGGCTCTCTCCCCACTCCAATCCAAAGCCTCACCCACAATTCCAGAATCTGATCCCAGATCCCGGATCTCCGCCCGTCCAGGATCAGGATCCTGATGCCACCCGGGGTGTGGGAACACCGCGGTCCCTGTCCCCTGCCATTAATTATCGCCATTATTATCGATATTAATGATCAGAATTATTTTGACCACAGGGAGGGGGGAGGTCCCTGGGTGTCCCTGGGTGTCCCTGTCCCCTCCCCCAGCCGGGAATTTTGTACATAAAACGGGAAGAATTCCCAACATTCCCCTTTTTCCCCGCTCGGGGGTGGCTCGTGTCCCTCCCCTCCATGTCTGTCCCCTCTCGGTGTCACCGCGTGTCCCCCCCACCCCGGGCTGGGGGGTGACCCTTGGGGACAATGTCCCCCCCTCGCGGAGGTGGCGCAGGGCGTGGCCGGGGGCCCGAGTGGGAATTAAAGACCTCGTGGAAAAGCTGCGACTCCCGGGATTTGTCACCCCCGGGATGGTGACACCGGTGTCACCCGCTGTCCCCACCCCTTGGGGACACAGCAGGGATGTCCCCACGCCCAGCCCCGGCTCATTCCCAACGCCGGAATCCGGGAATGCTCCAGGCGCGGCTCCCGGGAGCTGCCCCAGCCCCGTGTCCCCTCCCCCAGGCCACCCCCGGTCCTCTCCAGCTGCGGTGTCACCTCTTGTCACCTCCCCCCGCCCCCGCGCGCCGGGATGAGCGCAGGAGGAGCTGGAATTAATTGCGTTAATCAAGAAAGGTTAATGAGGAGGTGGCGGTGCCAGCGCGGGCCGGGAGGGGGGGTGGTGGGGTGGCACAGCTGGCACCGGCGGGGGGATGGCGACAGGGAGCGGGGACACCGAGCGGCGACACGGGGCTGGCAGCGCGGCTGGGGACACCGCGTGATCCCCGGGGGGACAGCTGGTGACCCCCGTGGGGACGGGCCACGCGTGCTGGGGATGGGGGTGACACCGTGACCAGCCTGGGGTGGTGGCACCGTGAGTGAGCACGGGTGGCACGGGTGGTGGGGACAGTCACGGGTGTTGGGGACAGTCACAGGTGGTGGGGACATGCAGAGGTGTTGGGGACACACGTGGCACATGTACGGGGACACTCACATGACACATGTTGAGGACACACACAGGTGTTGGGGACAGACACTTGGCACAGGTGGTGGGGACACACTCAGGTGTTGGGGACACGCAAGTGGCACATGCCGTGGGGGCACTCCCAGCTGTTGGGGACATGCACGGGTGGGGGGGACTCTCAATGTCACAGGTGTTGGGGACACATATGTGGCACTTCCCACGGGGACAGTTGACAGGTGGTGAGTTCATGCACAGGCGTTGGGGACATGAGGTGGGGACAGGCAGGTGGCACAGGTGGTGGGGACAGTCACGGGTGTTGGGGACATGCATAAGGTGTGGGGACACCTGGTGGGGACACGCACGTGGCACTGGTGGTGGGAGGACACATGGCACACACTGTGGGGACAGTCACGGGTGTTGGGGACATGCACGTGGCGCAGGTGGTGGGGACACACAGCACATGGGGACACGTGTGGCACATGCCATGGGGACACTCACAGGCGGTGGGGACGTGATGGGGACATGCGCACCTTGGGGACAGGTGGTGGCACTTGTCACAGGGACACTCAGGTGATGGGAACTTGTCCAGGTGCTGGGGACACACGTGGCACACTGTGGGGACAGTCACAGGTGCTGGGGACATGCAGGGGGACATGCACGTGACACAGGCGGTGGGGACACTCGCAGGGCTTGGGGACATGCACCGATGGCCCTTCCCATTCCCGTGGGTGCCCTCGGCTTTGGCCGCTACCAAATCCTGAATTTCTCCCAAATCCCGAATTTTCCCCAAATCCCCAGGTTCCAGTCCTGGCTCTGCAGGGTTTGGGGTCGTGGCTGATCCTGGGATTTGGGGCCAGGAAAAATGGGAAGGGATAAAGCCAATGAGGGAAAAGCGGGAATGAGGGGATGGGATCAGGGGCATATCAGGGAAAAGGGGATCCCAGATTCCAGATCCCATCCAAGTTTGGGGCGGGACTGGGGATCCCAGATTCCGGATCCCATCCCGGTTTGGGGAGGATTGGGGATCCCAGATCCCATCCCAGTTTGGGGCAGGATTGGGGCAGGATCAGGGATCCCAGATCCCAATCCCATCCCGGTTTGGGGCAGGATTGGGGATCCCAGATCCCATCCTTGTTTGGGGTGAGATCAGGGATCCCAGATCCCAAATCCCATCATGGTTTGGGGTGAGATCAGGGATCCCAGATCCCAAATCCCATCATGGTTTGGGACAGGACTGGGGATCCCAGATCCCATCCTGGTTTGGGGCAGGATTGGGGAATCCAGATCCCATCCTGTTTCGGGGCAGGATCAGGGATCCCAGATCCCATCCTGGTTTGGGGTGAGATCAGGGATCCCAGACCCCCGTCCCATCTCAGTTTGGGGCCGGATCAGGGATCCCAGATCCCAGATCCCATCCTGGTTTGGGGTGAGATCAGGGATCCCAGACCCCCGTCCCATCTCAGTTTGGGGCCGGATCAGGGATCCCAGATCCCAGATCCCATCCTGGTTTGGGGTGAGATCAGGGATCCCAGACCCCCGTCCCATCTCAGTTTGGGGCCGGATCAGGGATCCCAGATCCCAGATCCCATCCTGGTTTGGGGTGAGATCAGGGATCCCAGATCCCAGATCCCATCCTGGTTTGGGGCAGGATCAGGGATCCCAGATCCCAAACCTATCCTGGTTTGGGGTGAGATCAGGGATCCCAGATCCCAGTCCCATCTCAGTTTGGGGCCGGATCAGGGATCCCGGCTCCCAATCCCACCCTGGTTTGGGGCGGGATCCCGGAGCCGCTTTCTGGGAAAGGCCCGGGCTGGAAAGAATTCCCAAAAATAGCTGGGGGCGGGGCCGTTCCCAGCTGTTCCCGCCGGGAATGCGAATCCCATAACGGGGGTGGGGAACCCAAAATCCCCCTGGGGACACAAAAAGGGGGTTGGGAACCCCAGATTCCCATCCTAGGGAAAACTGGGGAGGTGGGGACCCCAAAATTCCCTCCTTAGGGATCAAGGGGGGATTGAGGACCCCAAAATCCCGTTGATGTCCCCAGAGTGGGGTTGGGGACCTGAAAATTCCCTCCCTGGGGACAGTGAGGGAGTGGGAACCCCAAAATCCCTCTAAATGTCTCCCAGGGAGGGGTGGGGGACCCCAAAATTCCCTTTTGGGGACACTGAGGGAGTGGGGACACCAAAATCCCTCCCGATGTCCCCAAAGGGGAGGGTGAGGACCCCAAAATTCCTGTCTTGGAGGGGATTTGGGACCCCACAATTCCTCTCAGGACACAAAAGGAGGGTTGGAGACCCCAAAATTCCCTTTTGGGGACACTGAGGGAGTGGGGACACCAAAATCCCTCCCGATGTCCCCAAAGGGGAGGGTGAGGACCCCAAAATTCCCTTTTGGGGACACTGAGGGAGGGGGGAGACCAAAATTCCATCTTGGGGACAATTTAGGGCTGTAAGGACCCCAAAATCCCTCCCGATGTCCCACAGAGGGGGTGGGGACCCCAAAATTCCCACTTAGGGAAAACTGAGGGAGTGGGGACCCCAAAATTCCATCCTGGCGACAATGGGGGGGGTGGGGACCGCAAAACCCCTCCCGATGTCCCCAAAGAGGGGCTGAGGACCCCAAAATTCCCTTTCTGGGAACATTGAGGGAGTGAGGACCCCAAAACTCCCTCTTGGGGACAGTTTGTGGCTGCAGTGTCCCCCAAATCCCCCCGATGTCCCCAAGGGGGGGTGGC